CAGGTCCCCAAGGGCTCCGGAAAGCCCCTGCTCAGTCAGTGCAGTTCCAGGATTAGTTCGCGAGTTCGTTGTTGGCATTGCCAGCTTGAAATACCGGCAGTACTTCCGCTTGCGTTACTCCACCAAAAATGGGCGACTCTTCCAGCGACGAAAGTCGCGATCGCTCACCATTAACCACAAACAGTGCAGGTACCTCGAGGAAAATGGGTAAGAACAAATCCCTTTCCGCAAAATTCCCTACCCGTGACCCTGACATAAAGACTCTCAGAGCCGAAATTAAAGCCATGCGGCTTCGAAACTCTAAACAGGACGACCGCATCAAGACCCAAGCTGCCCAAATTCAAGAGCTAACCCGGTTACTCACTTTGGAGTACCCAAAACATACGTCCCCACAAACTGCCCAGCCTCCCCAGACTGCCCCCGTTCAGACAGTGTCTGAAAAGATGGAAGTTGAAGAATTCGGCGGGGGCACCGCCATCGTAATTAAAAGTTCCCTGGCCCACTCTCAAACGCCACCAACCACGAACACCGTCATTGAGCACACCTCCATTATCCTTAATATGGAAAACTCCCAAATACGACTAATCTCCGCTTACAAGCCCCCTCGAGTTCAAACTTCTCAGCAAGACTACGACACATAGATAAAGACAAGTCGAGCTGACCAACAATCCCCCAACAACAAACGCTTGACTCTCAAAAGCCCCCCAACTCGCCCCCCGCGCAATTCGCTTCCTGGAGCCATAAAAGCCTACAGTAAACTTTCCCCCGTTAGTTTCAAAAGCCACAAAACCGCCCAAAACACCGACCACAAACACAACACACCTCCGCTGAAAAGCAAACCCCCCAACACCATCACCCAGGTATCCTCGAGGTACCAGCACAAAAGACGCAAGGCCTTAAATGGCTAAGTCTGTTAAACATCGACGCACCGGGGTTTACGCCACGGCTGAAATTATCCAGACTAGGTCGCAGCAAAAGAGGTTTTTGGCTTCCATTCAGGAAGACCGTTTTTCCTTATTCAATGCCCCTCGAAGAAATCTCCTGACGCTGTCGTACGTATGGCTAGCTGAGGAGTGTCCATGTTAGAGCACTGTCCAGGCAATAAACGACTTAGCGCGCCTATTTAGATGAAGGGCAAAGGAAGCAACCGGCTGAACATCTGGCAAAATATTGTTACTTTATTTGTACCTATACCAATCTGAATGTTGCAGCATTTGTTTTTGCGTTTCCACAGAAACCAAACAGAAACAAGGGATATGTGGACGAAACGTTGTTCAACCAGAATAAACGCGATGGCTGGCATAATAAATATTAATGCAAAACGGGCCCTGCGCGTGATTTTCTGTAACGAAGGACCAATATGTTTTATGGCCACATGCATGATGGAATATTGCACTGTACTGATACCATCCAACATTGTCGCCTTAACTGCAGATCGAGGGTTATCTGTGATTAGTGCCGTATCTGAAAAGACAGGAGTGCCCGTTCCAAAAATTGGCTCTCCTCCAGTTTGGGGCTTTGTTGGTTGTAATGAATATGTTGATGAATCCAGTATTATATTTAAAGCTCATATACTGAAACCGTACAAGAGGTGAGTATTTTGTCGGAGCAGTGACGAATCAAGCGTTAAAAATTATTTTTTTAAAATGTTTAAATCTTAATCTGTGTTTTCTCAACAAACTACGTTTATGAAAGACATTTTGGTATTATTTTCTTATTTATTTTGTAGCGCTTGCACGACATCGACAGTGATGCTCTCACCAAGGTCGTTTTCAAAAAATACGGACCAATGACGCAGCGGGCTCAAATTCCACACCAAAAAGTAACTTTTTGTGGATGCATTGCCATCTCGTGAACCTTGTGTGGATTGGCATCGTCCCATATACGGCAATTTTGCTTGTTAACATATCCATTGTTCTTGTTGTCCTTGTACAAGTCGTGACAGAGAGGGAACAGATCACATCCACTATACTCCTTGGCTACTGGAATTTTTACTCTAACGCCGTTTGCATTCGCTTTAGTTTGGAATGTGGCAAAAGTGAATTTGGAGAGCAATGATAACGAAAGCTGGGTTTACATATATGGATTCTGCGGCGCATTTTGATATGGGCTCAGGATCGTTATATTTATTTGGCAATTTCAAAACTCAAGTTGAATTTCCAATATGTACTATTAAACTGTTCAAAAGCCACACACGTATTATTCCACTGTAGCCTGAGCCGCAGGCTGCCGACCCTGGTATAGAGGAATACTTGCTCTTAAGCATCTTGTCTCTATCACATGCTTGTTGTGTGTGTGTCTCATTTCAGTTAACAAGCATTATGAATTATTGGTAGTTTATTTCTTATTAACCGCATAATTCGCATAATTATAAAGCAACCATAAAAATAACTTTAATTGAAATTTTTTTAGAAAATGTATCAATGTCTCAATTATTAGAAGGGACATATCCACGAGTGGTAAAATCTCAGATTGTCCTTTTGCAAAATCTGTGTCAGTCATTTTGAAAAAAAATCTTTTTCTTCTAATATACTATATAAACGTTTAAACAACTATATCAAGACTGAGGTTGCATATTTACATGCTCCGCATTGAAGCCACCGCGGCCGACGAGCCGCTTGACGTCACAACTGGTCCCAGCCGATGACGGCGCGTTTTAAAAATGATTTGAATTATACAGTTTTCAATTGCTTATATTAATTACATAGAAATAAAAAATTAGTTTTTTGGTCAACTGTGTTGTTTTGAATAGTATTAAGTTACGTTTGCGAGTAATATTCTTTAAATTTAATTTTTGTGCAAGTTCCCTATTGAAGTTCGAGATACCAGTAGCAACGGTTTTTGTTTGTAAACAAAAAAGTAGTTGTTGATAGAGACTCGGTTATAAAAAAGGCACAAATAAAGTATCGTAAAAAACACCCAGTGGTCGTCATTATAATTATAAAATAAATACAGTCCACTTTGAGTGCCAAATAAAGGCATTCCAAAACATTTTGGTCCTTCGAGTCGGATGAAGAAAATTATTTTGCCGACGGTGTTAAAGGTGAAAGTAGGTGAAATTCGGGAACCGGAAATACCTAACAGTGCAGTGATAAATAAGAAGGTTGACCGGAAACCGAGAGAGCTTGTAGAGTGCTGGAAGTTCGGAAACAACGTTAGATCGATTGGAGTTGGAGGTTGCGGTCGCCACCTGCTAGGAGCAGCATCAAACAACCCATTGGACTTCTTAGGACTGGGATTGAAGAAGTTGGTTTATTGGTTTGTGCTGAAGATAACAGAGCTTACAGAGGTATTGTTTGGGGTGCAGCGCAGGACCGTATTGTAAGTCAATCAATTTCGTATTTTTAGTTGTAAGTGGTCTCTATTTGAGTCAGAATGGCAAACTTATCTGCACTCAGAATAAAAAGGGGATATATTAAGGGCAGATTAACAAGGTTTAGAACACATTTCGATAATATAGATTTACCCAAAAGTACTGCCAGGGATTGGTCTATATTAAGCTATAAATTGGAGAAGTTTGAACCCATCTGCGATGAATTTATGGTATTTCAGAATCAAATAGACATTAAGAGCCATGGAACTGAGAAATATGATTTGGAAATGGAAGAAAGGTAGAAATTTGAAACTGATTTTTGCGAATTAGTGACAAATATAAGGCACGAATTACAAAAATACGTCGTGCCGGGTAGTAACAATCTTATTCGAAGCACTTGGGCTGGGTCAGAATAACGTACAGGTGCGGGGTCTGGGAAAAATAACAGTAATGAGGGTAATGTGCATCACTAGTGAAATTGCAATCAATTCAGATTCCTACCTTTGGTGGGCAATACAGTAATTGGCTGGATTTCAAGGAAGTTTTTACTGCATTAGTACGTAATAATTCAATATTATCAGATTTGAAAATATTTTACTATCTGAAAACTTCTTTGAAGACCAATGTTTTGAAATTACTCATGGCAATTGAAGTGTCCGATAGCAATTATAGTGTAGCATCGCAATTGCTCGTCAAAAGGTATGAGAATAAGAAACTGATAGTGCATAACCATATAAGCGCCATTTTCGATTATCCCAGTGTAAAAAAGAAAATCATAAAGAATTGAGAAGTCTGAATGATAGTATAACCAAACATCTTAGGTCTTTAAAAAATTTGGGGTTAGATGTTACTGCCTGGGATCCTTTAATTATTTATTTAATATCAGACAAATTACATCTCTTTACTCGCAAGGAATGGTAGTCTTTTAAATGTCAGGGTGAGTTATCTTTGCTAAATGAGTTGCAGTCGTTTCTGCAGGACAAGTGTGAAGGCACAAATAAAGTATCGTAAAAAACACCCAGTGGTCGTCATTATAATTATAAAATAAATACAGTCTACTTTGAGTGCCAAATAAAGGCATTCCAAAACAGATAGACAATTTACAAAGTTACAAATTTGCATTTACACTTTAAGTTGTGAAATCAACCGTTTTCAAATTATAATTTATTTAATTTAAAAATTTCAAAAAGTTGCTACATTTTGTAAGGTGGGCAATGTAACTTTTTTGAACTACCTTGTATACTTTCATCTGATATAAAAATTCAACACATCAAGAAAATCGACAGGAGCGAGCGTTTGTTGAAATGTTGAAAAAGCGTTTTCTTTAATCTAGTAACTTAATCGCAACCCCCTAGGGAGACTTGCTAGAAAAAATAGCTGTCAGCAGTTAAATTGACCCCTGAGTTACCCTTTGGCTGTGTCAAGCAATCTGGATAACTGTTAACTTGCTCTGCTAGTTGAGAACTGCTGCTTTCTTAAATAACGCAATATGATTAAAATATTACACAAACACACAAAAATTACGGTATAAAATATATATTAAATAATTATAATGTATGTATAATATGCCTTATTTTCTAATTGCTTCATAACGCATGAACTTTCCCATATTTACAAGCTAACTTTCTAACTTTAACATAGCTACATGGCAAAGTTGAATTAAATGTACAATTTCCGATTTCCTTTAAAATAAAAGCTGATTATTTACGTAAGTCATATCGTACTGAGATCATCAACTTGAGATATGATTGGTGTGGCTAAATTTAAAACTTAACTATTAGAGCCATTTTATTACGTTTTTGTTAAATTGTCATAGTTGATAATATTTTAGTTGTTATACAATGGAAAACAATTTAATAACTACGTTCGACAACAGCCATTTTCCGAAATGGCTTTAAACTCAAATCACTCAAGTTCTGACATCGAGGACTTAGGTACTCTAACTTTAAATTATTATTTACAACTTTACAACTTTACGTAACAAAATTCTATTAATTTCAGAAAATTTATGTAAGAGTACCTTATGTAACGTTATGTTATGATCGAAATTCCATTGAGACATAGACCTACGGAATATTTATTTGATCTGATCACACTTTCGTTCTTTTAAAAAGTTGTTTCCAATAGTGAATGCGCTAAATAAATCATCATAATCATGTAAACTCCATTCACATGGGCGCAGAAAGAAACTCAATTCGCCTACACGACTGTTTTTCACTCACAAGTTCACAGTTTTCTATCAGGTCGGGATTACGCATTTCTGTTACTGCATTTGATAGGCGCGTCGAACATAGTAGCAACATTTTGGCCGAAAGATATTTGGTTATTTGTGAAAACAAAAATCTATGATCACTTAATTACTTTAAAATAAATTGTAATTTACCGAGAGGTAAGTGCGAAAGTTTAATCAGATCAAACAATTTCGATGTAACATTAATAATCAAATTAAAATAAACGCATCGGTAGTTTTACATGATATGATATGTTTTCAATAATAGATATATGCATATTCTAATTTTCTTGTCGTTAATAAAAATACATTATGCAGGGTGATTTAAAATTGGCGTCACTCCTTTTCAAGGGTAAAAGGGGCTCACTTGGAAGGTACGCGAAAAATATTGAAATATTTTTTTCCAATAATTTTTAGAAGATATTAACAGTTGAAAATCGAATTTCAACTTTGTTCTTAAACATTATTTTGAAAGTGTTCCATGTTTTATTGGAATACTTAAGAATTCAAAAAGAAAAATTACGATGTTTGCTTCAAATTACGAAAATTTTTGAATTTAAAAAAGTTCTCTTCTACAGTTTTTTGATGAAAAGTCAAAGCGGTAACAATGGTTTTTGTCATTAACAGATAGTTACAGGTGGATAGCCCTTGTCAATAATAACAATAATTTGTCAAACTGTAAATTACTTTGAAGGTTCTTTGACGAATTTGCGGATATGCGATTAGTTCAGGGAAAATGCTATAGTAACATAGCAGAAGCTGACAGAAATCACGCCAACAAAGAGCGAGGAGAGTGGTTCCAGGAAGATACTGGACGACGGTAGATGTTCGGGTTCCAGACACAGAGGAACAAATATTGTACATAATTGTAGAAGAGCATTTTAGGGGCACTCAGAACATTGCACAATAACTGACACTTTCCCAGGCACCAAATAAATACCGGCTACATTCCTACCACGTATGTAAGACACACATTAAACCAGTGGATTATTGAACACCGGTATAAATTGAGCTGGAGTTAATTAACCGAATACGAGAAGCTGCTCAAGAAGAGTGAATAATAAGGTGATTGACATGACACAGGCACTTGTTTGGAGAGAGACTCAAATGTATGATTTTATAATTTGTAAACAAATTAATAATTCGAGGTTATGAGTTTCGAAATAGGTTCCGTCAATCAACGATTTCTGTTGAATTTGCCGTTTATCCTTGTCTTATAGTTGTTTCCTTATTTATCCAGGGTCACGGGAGTTTTAAATAATTACGAAGCAACAGGTAACGTAATGTTAATTAAGCAGATTACCTCGAACAACATTGTTGCCGTTTTTCTAATATAGTTTTTTAAAAATTTCTCAGTTTTTAATAGCAATCACTATTTTTACTATTTTTTCTGTACTCCTAAACCACCTCCAGAGAAATGACGCCAATCTTGAATCACCCTGTATGTGTCTATACAGAAAAGTACTTCGTTAAAATACAGTGTTATAAGTAGAGTTACAGTATTGCTTGGGTTGATTTGAAATATTTGTATAGATTTATTATATCATTTATTTGCATAATTTGAATGTCTACATAAACGTTGATATTGTCTAAACTTAACTTTAAATTAGTCTAATTTTATAAACTTCCTGTTAGGACAGTGCTGTTGTAAAAATACTATGAAATTAAATTAATTTTCCACAAAACATAATATAAATACAGTACCGAAGAAATATGTTAACAATAGATGATTAAAACCTATTTTATTTATTTGCTTCTCTAGTATCGTACGCATTGTGTGGTATTTTTCTATAGTATGCTGATTTTTTATAAGCGATCGCTAATTTCAATACATCGGGTGTTTCACTAAGGTCACGGTCCTCACCAACTGTATCGATTTTTAACTTAAAAAAAGGTCTCAATCTAACTTAATTAATACCAACCTGTTCGTAATCCAACGATATTTTCAATGCAATTTTGGTTTAACTTTTGGCATCTGTGGCAAATATAGTTCATATATAACATAAATTCTACGCTATTTTTTTTGCACTTCCTTTATACTTTCAGAAAATATAAAAGCGCTTTGTTTTCCGTCTTCTTTAGACTTATTCGAGATAAATAGATTTCGCCTCCAGCAGCTTTTTGCCGAGTTGCAAATTATATCAAATATTGTTAGATATAAAGCAAGCAATTCTGAATAAATAATGGTTGCTATATAATTGATAACTTTAACATATTATGAGCCATCCAATAAACGCTTTTTAATTCTTGCTTTTTTAAGAAGAGAGCAAAAAATATTCAGTTGCAACGTAGAAAAAATTCAGGAAGCATTACTTTCATCAATGCAACTGCAATACGCAATAGGATTTTTATGTGGAAAATTAACCTTCTCAAAAAACTTTACCAATCCACCGGCCTACACATTTAATATTAGATTAATTGCGTTAGATACGGATGGATAGGGCTTGAAAGCGATGTTACACACACAAAAAAGCTTATAATTTTTTTTGGCTTACATATCTAAAATTCTAGTTAGCCGTGATAAAGTAAGGAACGACTTTTCGTGACAATTAACCCAAGTCTCATTCTCTCTCAAATTGGTTCGTGTTCAACTAGAACGTTTTATATGCTGAGTGAAGGGCGCTTCTTGCGATCTCCTTTAGTATTCTTTCCAAATATGTTGCCCAAGACTTTCGAGACGCTATTGACGCCAAGCTTACGTCGGATCGGCAAAGCCTTCAACAGTTGAACTGATCGTGCTTCTCTTAAGAGAGACTGGAAGGCTAAGGAAACTCCAGCGAAGTTTTCTGCAGCGCTCACCTCGTAAAACTGACATCCGTATTGCAACGAGAGTTCCTGGCCTTCATCCACGCAGATTTGCCTGAAAAAAGAGAAGATATACTTTATTGCGGTGTAATATAACTGGCTGATGTTGAAAGTGCGTTATCAAATTTGTTGATCAAAAATGGAACTCCCTCATTCTTAATGCCTTATTATTCTCACTTGGGTATACTCTCGTATAGCTGATTTGTGGTTTAAGATTAAAAGGAAATGTTGCCGCAATGGCATGATCACGAGCTTCATTACTGTGCTGCAATGAGCTTTTTTCAAATTACCTTCGTAAGAGTTTATTAGCCCTTTATTAAATGACCATCAAGGTTTATTGCCGGGCACTACAGGAATTGAAGCTACCTTATAGTTAAGATTCATATCGATTTATTTAGTAATGATCGCTTTGCCTTAAGATTTATATCGATTTATTTAGTAATGATCGCTATGAGCTCAGATATTAGAAATATTTACGTTGCACTAGAGATAGACAGTCTTCGGAATCCAGTTCCGGAATCGATTTTAAATACATTTATGTGCATTTTATACATACTATTTCATCTTCTAAAAAAGATCCCATCTGGCTTCCTTATGGAATTATGCGCCTTCGAAGTGGCAAGTTGAAAATTGGAATTTATTCTTAATTATTACACCGTTTATTAGCCGTTCGTGAAATTGTTGTAGCAAAAGTAGTTTATAGACACTCGCCTTTTTGAATTAAAAATTTATTCTAAATCTTGTTATTGTTAACTTTTGTAATGAGCACAAATTTAACTGTATTCCCAAATTTGGGGATATGATTAGGTGTTAGGCAAGGATGTATTGTAGCGCCATTACTATTTAATGGCTACTCGGAAAGGCAATATATGAAGGACTGGAGGGTATTATACCCCGCAAAAGTACAAATTGTCCGTGGAACGTTCTATTTTGATCCCCGTTATCCCGCATGCGACAATCCTTGGTAGGATGTTCTTAGGCCCTCCCTCGTATCGCACAAATATCTCATGCAGATCCCATGCGAGTCGTCCCAGAAACGTTCTATTTTTTGCTCCCAGGGACGTAATAAACAGGACGTGTATGTAGTAATGGTAAATGGCACGCTCGAAAAAAAAGTTATACCATTTACACACTTAATAAAGTATATACCATCAAAACCGAAATATAAGAAATGGAATTCAATCAACTTCGATAACGGATATATAAACCGACATATACGTATAATAATAATATAATTAGTATATACTTTTATAATTTTAATATAATAGAGTGTATATAAATATTAATAATACATGTCTTTATTGTAAATTATTAAAAATAGTTTACAATTGGCGAATATATAATATATAAATATATTAAGACTCGACACTTTACCAGACGAAGAGTTTTGAGTTTCCGTACGTGTTATTGAGTTATAACAGACAAAGTAAGTAACTAATTTATATTTTTGTCACTTTTATACATGATCTTCGTTTATATGTATACAAGGATGCTATCATTTCCATGCTTTCTAACGTAACGCCATGCCTAAAAATTGAGAAACATTTTTATAACGGGGGTTATAACTTAAACGTTTTTTGTTTGTTTTGAAATATATATTGATATGTTATTGCTTCAGTATTATGTTTCTTTTAAATTGCTTCCACCCTAAATTTTCCAAAATATAAAGCTGCCTTCAACGTTTTATACAGTTTTTTTTATACTTCATACATATTTGTTCCTCGCAATAATTTGACGGTTGCGTCAAATTATTTATCAAAAAAATTTGTTGCGGCTTGATTTTTAGCGCACAGCGGCAACGCAGCTTACAGCGTTTTCGGGACGCCTAGCTTGATACTTCGAGAACGAACGGCAATAGTCGATTGGGCTATGGAAATCCCAAAAAATGGAGAATCTTCGTAGGTCGTCGAGAGCCCTTGCGCGCTAATATAAATACGGCAAGGCGACCGGAGTGAGTTAGTTAATCATACAGTGAAATATTTAAAGCGATATATAGAGTGTGTTCGATTCGCGAGCTATAGTTTTGAGTTAGTGATTGTTATAGTTAGTATTTGTGAGTTCAATAAATTGTTGTGTTTTTTTTTATTTGTTTAGTGGAATTGTTCGAACCCCGGGAAACGTAACACTATTAACCTAAGAATGTTTCACAGATGTTCTCTAAACATCCCGTCTATAATCCCAGTGATGTCCCAAATGACCTTTACAGAATCATCCCATACATGGTCCGAATAGTCCCAAAAGTATGTCCCGTGGAAGTCCCACGTACATATGGGGATGTACCGGGACATCCGAGAGACTTAGGTCTATATCCTGTACTTCCGTGTGACGTCTCAGGGACCGAGATGTGTTTGCTGGGTAATAAATGACGAAGTCATAAACAACTTGCGTTCTGCGGACGATACGGCACTTCTGACCACGAATGAAGAGGATTTACAGTGTGAAATTGTCGAATACAAAATGCAAATTGTCTTCGTAAAACCCTAATACTTTGACCATGTCGGTCACTTTTTCATTAGAAAAGGTCATTCAAAACGAATTTGTGAGAATGATTGACAATAATTTTATGCCTCGTATCACGATATTTGCATTGTTAAGTGGCAAGGAAACATAAATATTTTTTTTTCACAAAAACTATGAACGCTACAAGATTTTACAAAGAGCACAAAATTGTGAACAACTGATTAATGCATCAACCTAAAAAAAATGAGTTGATGTCATCCTCCAACTAAAAAGTTCTGGTAGTTTTTGAACCACAACCCTCAAGAATTCACCACTTGTCCAAAACGGCTGAACTCGATTGTTTTATCAAAATATGAGTCTTACATCGTACCATTCACCCGATATTTCAAAAAAGATAAGATTTTTGAAGAACTTTGACCATCAATAGCAGAGGAGCCAGACATTTTTTGTTAATAAAAGTTAGGTCAGATCGTCTTCTTTTGGTTCAAAGAATATCGCAGTACCCGTTTCATCATGAGCTTACGGGACACCCTGTATAGGACAAACTAAACAATATTTGATGTAAAAAAGAGAATGTACAAACATAAATAAAGTCTGAGAAATACTAGTGAACATAAAACAGCATTAACACAACATGCACACCAAATGTTGCATAATTTTGATTTTGACAACGCAGATATATTAATTAGGGAAACAAATTATCATAAAAGAAGAATTCAAGAAATGATACAAATAAAAAAACATACAAAAACAGCAAATTTAAGATCAGATACCGACAACATTAGCAACATTTACCAAACCCTAATAAAGCCATAAGTATGGAACACCCGGTACACTAGTAAAGAATTAAAAATATTTCTGCTTATCTCAATACATGCATCCCACTCTCGCAAATGTAGAAAATAATTCAGACAAACTCAAGGATTTCAAGAAGGCAAAGACCTAAACGGACGTTGATTTTTACGAATCATGAGGTAAGTTTTTCTAGTGTTTTGCTCTCCTGCTCTCCCAAAAGGAAGGATTTTTTTCCCTCAAAAACTGATGAATGTTTTAATACTTTATAAATCAGAGTTTTTATACAACATGTTTTAATTGTGAACTGGCGTTTGTAGTTTGTGTAAATTTTAGATCTGATGATGGCGCTGTTGTTTCGCCGAAAATTAATGAAATAAACGATTTTCAAACATTTTTACGTCACACTTTGACTGAGACCCAGGAAAGATAAGAATATCATAAAAAGAATAAAAAATATGATCTTAGTTCACAACACAAGTGGTCTGCTTTGAATGACCTGGACAACGTAGACTTGATCATTTTGAACGTTTTGAATAGTATTCCTGACTCTTACGTTCAGCTGAAAAAGCTCGCGTTCTGCTGTTGTTTCCCATTTCGGTTCTACATACAAATATATGCGAACCATCTTTTTCAAGGATGAAGATTATCAAATATAAACTTATATAAATATAAGAAGTCGTCTCATTGATAAGAACTTGGAATCATGCCTAAAATTAAAAACAGCAAGATCCAAAGCTGACTTCAAAACTCAAACTTTCCAATGAAGATGAAAAACTCAAACTTCCCAATACATTGTTCGCATTAATAAATATTTATTAAGTATGAAATTTAGTTTTATTTAGTGCAATGAAAGTTTTTGTTCATATTTGGTTCTTTGGCTGATAAGTTTGCGGATCACTGCGATAGCGGATTAAAATTAGGCAAAGAAATAAATATCAGATGTCATGATTACCATTTCTCGCGTAATTTTATCTTTCTTCACAAAGATACGTTTAACTTGAATCACACTGTAAGCTTCTTCTTATACTTTGTAGAGACCCTTTGGCCTGTTTATTTTCGTTGCAGGTCTGTCTTATTGTTGCGCTTCTCACTCTATCTCGTAGTGTTTTTCCCGCTATTGACCTTAGAGTCTTCATCTCTGCCGTTCTTAACATACATTTTGTCTTGTTTGTGTCTGCTCGGGTTTCGATGCCGTAGTCTTACGCATGTTTTGAATATTCGAACTTTACTGTCGATGCTCTTATGTTTGTTGATCCATATGACTCTCTCTTAAGCAACCGGATGTTAACGATGCTTTGTTGATGTGGGACTTGAGATCTTTAATTGGTTCATTACGGCTAGAAATATCCGCTCCAAGTTATCTGAAAGTTCCCACATAGCAAAATGATATTTCCAGAATATACCTGGAACATTCATGTGATGTACATGCATATCTTGGGACATATATGAGTTCCATTATGAACATTCCATGTATGTCCCAGGAATCCCAGGAGTTAATACACTGAATGTTCATGGTATGTTCAGTGAATGTACATGTGTATGTTATGACAATGTACCTGGTATGTTCAGTGAATATACATGTGTATTTTCTGGGAATGTACATGGTATGTTCAGGGAATATGCATACATATATGTAACGAAAGAAAAACGATCCTTTATTTCATCTTATTAGTTTATTCACATATTTAAGTATTTACTGAGTTACTTACAACTAATCTAAAACTAATTAAATGGATAATAAATAAATTAAAATATAACATAACTACGGACTAAAAATCTAAATTAACATTGTCAGCATTT